TATATATATATATATATATATATATATATCTTTAGAATATGTAGTATTTAATTCATTAATAATTCTGATAATTACAGATTGATCCACTTCCTGAATTTCAAATAATTTAACATCATCCTCTATATTCTCAAATTGATTGGCATCTTCATCCACGAAGTACTGCCTATCAACTTCAACGTTTGAAAAATTTGATGCAAGATCTTTTACTGATTGAATAAAAAAATCATTAAATATATTCATTAACAAGTTCATCTCCAACTTTAAGAATATATTTATCCTGAACTTTACTTTTTGGTTTTATTAAACTGTTAATTTGTTTCCATATTATATTACCATTTCCCTTAGCTTCAGATAATATGTGAATGTAATAATTTGATTTTGAAGTACGAAATTTCTTAATTACTCGATTTCTTAGTCCTTTAAACAACTGCAAGTCTATTTCATGTCTAGTTTTAAGAAAAGTCTTTAAGGCATAATCTCTTTGCTTCATTAATTGACGTATCATATCATTTATCCAAGGAAGCTGTATTTTTCTATATGATTTCTTCTGACATTTAATACATTTATCTACAATAAGACTGATATGAATCATAAATTCATCACAACATTTATTTACATGATTATGTTGTAAAACTTCATTCCAACTTATTGCCATTAATTTCTTCTCAAATTCAGCCTGGTCTTTACGAGGAATCTCAAATTTTACTAATCCATCATGATTATTATGATTCCTTACTAAATTTTTTTTTTTTTTTTAGTTTTCTAGCAATTAATACCATATTATGATCAGACAAACCACAAACTAAATTATAAGTTTTTGTTATACGTTCATGTTTATTCGTAAATACCAAATCTATCAATGTTTGTGTTTTCTGACTAATACGAGTGGGTCCACTAATCATCTGTCGATAATCATATATATATATATATATATATATATATATATATATATATATGCAATCTACTCCACTTTAACGCAACACTGCAATCCTGCAGCTTTAAAGTTCGCTTTTTTCATTTATTTATTTTTTCAGATAAGAGGTCATGCCTCGATCACGCCAAATTTCTTGACCAAACTAGAAATTTGGAACGCAGCAAAATTCACCCGAGGCCTGTTGCACATAGCCATTTGAGTTTTTTACCCAGGTAAGTTTGTTTAGTTTGAGCAAAGGTGGGTTGGTTTTAAAACTCTGAGTTTACAAAGAATGTTTACCGAGTGTTGTGAGCCCACTGAGGCTGTTCTAAACCAGGTTGAATTTGTTTGGTTTTGTCAACTCTAAACTTGCTCTGAAACTGAAAGAGAAAGAGTTTGTTCAGCTAGCTTCATGAATCATGCGCTCGCTGTCTCCTGCATTTATAGATGTATGAATGGAAGTCAATGGAACAAAACTTGCAGTGTTGCTGGCTCTTAAGCCAGGTTCAGCTCCAACTTCAGATCTTCAGGAAGACTTGATAATTATAGAGGGGGTCTTTGATCAGGGATGGAACTGAACTCTGCAGGAAGGCGGATCTCCAGGAACAAGATTGGGCATCCCTGGACTAAGCTATTTATGCTAGTTAAACATTCCCAACATATGCTGGTGGCTAGTTAAGTTTTTTTTTTTTAAGCATTATGTTTTGATGCCTGTTTGGATTAGTATAAACAGTTTTTGGGAGTAACTAACTAAAAGCAGTGACTACTAACCACATTTTTTTCATAACGTGAGTAGTTCAGTATTTTTCAAAGTAGTACAGCTTTTCCAGTAACGCGCTGCAGCAAAAAAATCTCCATGTTTGCAACAAATATGGCTCTTATTACAAATTAGAAATGATATCATTAAATATATTTTTTATTATACCATGGTCTGTCTGAAAACTCGATTCTGACTGGCTGGCAGATAACCGTTTAATGCACAGGTATGCACCGCTCTATTAATGCGCTGCTTTCATTGACGCACACAAACATCGCTCGCACAGAGAGTACGTGCATAGGCAGCTGGAGTTTCTTTTCTTTACTCTGTTGACTGACAAAGTCCATTTTGGTTCTGCTGTTCATTTCTGGAGTTTGGAGATGTTCTGCACGATAGTCTGACATATTGACCTTTCCCATCACAACAACTATGGTCTTCACTCACAACTCTGAAAACATAAATCATACAGCAGGAGAGAGAGAGAGAGAGAGAGAGAGAGAGAGAGAGAGAGAGATATCAGAGATCACACTGCGCACACACACAAACAGGAGTACAGAAACTTCTTGTCAACGCTGCCCTGTGACTTTTATTAATAAAATAGCTTAGATACTGGATCGCTGCATTATATTACTCATCAACGAGGAGGTAAAATCGCTGTTTAAGTAACTAAACTCACAACTTGCATATATTTTTAAATAAACTATGTAAAATTATAAAATAGCTTCAATGTAATTAGTTACTTTTTTTTTCGCCAGCAGCTTGCAGAGCTCTCTTACCATTCTCTAGATTTAATTTTAAGAGACTATATTTAATTATTTTAAATAATGATTATACTGTAGGTTGAAAAAGTATGGATTCCCCAACACTAGCTAACAACATGTTTTTAAAAAAAAGGTCAGATTTATAATATCGGAAGCATTTGTTCTCTAAAATGAATTATCTGATATTGGTATTGACCAAAATGACTAAATCTGTACCTTTCTGTTACTGGAGGACAAAAAACAGAGAGACCAAGCATTTGAGGTAAGGATAGACATGTAAAAAGATAGACACAGCGGAGGTGTGTTTAAAAATGGTAACCTAGAGAGATCAAGAACAAAGAGAAACTAAATGAACCAGAAAGCAGAGATTGAATGCAGACCAGTCTTATGTAAAGTACAGAAAACACACAACATTATAAATGACAACAAATGTCCCTGATGAGAATGTATGTGTAACTTCATGCAAAATGTTTCAAGCATGCAACAAGTTTTTTAGACTGCACAAGAGTGAACGTCTCAGAGCGTGCTCACGATTGAGCTGTGGATGAGTTTCTGTGAAAAGAGAGTGAAGGATTTTTATGAAGAGTGAATGAGAACAAACGTCTCCATCCTGCGTCATCCTGTCGAGCTGCACAATGGCAAAGTAACTATTCGGTTCCCACTCACTCGCCCACATATGCACACGCACACAGATCGCGCTGCTTACCTTTCCATCATAGCGTTTCACCACAAACTGATCCAGACCAAGGTCTGTAAGAGAGAGAGAGAGAGAGAGAGAGAGAGAGAGAGAGAGACAGTCAAACACAGTGGCTCTGTTGCAAAACATAAACTAAACTAAATCTGGATTTTTTTTTCTGGACCCCCTAATTTTGTCCCAATACATTGTCTTCTCTACAAAAGATACATGTAATAATGCTTTAGAATGTGGTGAAAATGCATGATCATGCTGTTTACTTTTGGAATGGCTTTCTCTGTGGTAACGTGCTTTAAAATGCTTACTAAATGGGCAACTCACTAGATTTTGAAGAAAGCTTTTATCACACATAAACAAGCCTATCTGTAAATGCATCTTGAATCCCAGTAGTCGTTTGCATTTATAGATGTCACTACAGGAGCTGGGTGATTACTGACATGTATGAGTGATTAATATAAGCTATTAAGGCTCATTTCCATCTTCCAGAAGTTCCAAATAAATGTCAGAGTCGTTCAACACCAAATCATTTCTCCATTAATCTTGTGCTGAATGCAGTACAGGGCTGGTCTGAGCTGAACAGGATGGACTCTGCTGATCTAGGGTCAGCTACACGAGCCAAGACTGATCTAGGGTCTATATTATATATATATATATATATATAAACATCAAGTTTCAAATAAAATGAAGAAATAAAAATGACTTTTATGTATCTTTTTAAAGCAATAAAATCACTGGATTATTATCTCAGGTTGCATCCTCTTTACATAAAACATCTGAGTGACAGGTGAGGCCACGACATAGATTACAATTGAGAAGCTGGGCCTAACTCCTGTTCGAAGCCCAGGCAGCCTTTGAGCTGAGCATATCTCTCTAATTCCGCTGCTGAAACGGGATGAATTATGGAACAGCTTTCCTCGCAGCCAGATGAATAATGAATTTTGTGTTCACTTTTTTACTCTCCCTCTTTTTAAAACCACTCTTCTCTCCCTAAAGGAAAGCCAGACTATTTAAACTAACTTAAATGACACCACAAGCCGCTTCAGCAGACCATGGTCTCCTTACATCCCACCCACAAGTGTAAGAAACATACTTTACAGCGAGGGATGACTTTTTCTGAATGACAGAACAGTGTGCTGCTTGTGCAAGTACATCGCACACCAGATAAATGCCAGCTAAGAGATTCTTAAGAAACACGCTTTAATCAGACATTTAGCCTTTCTCGGTGAAGCACAGCTGCTCTGGATGTCAGACCATCTCCGCTATGAATGCTATAAAATTATTTATTTGCCATGTTTACACGGGAGATACATTTGGCCATGAGGATAACAAAAAAAAAGAGAAAACACTTTGTCCGGACCCAACGAGGCACTAAACTCTACTAAAGCTGGCGAAACTGTTCTTTGTAATTACAGTCGCAGGGCATTTGTCTGGGAGGAGAAAGGATGAATGGCCGCCCAAGCGTTACGCACTAATTTGTGGCGTCTTCCACTCCATTTCTGCTATACGCATAACATCCCACATGTTTATACACCCACATACACACTAACACAGAGTCCTGGTGCTTGCTGTCTTCCATTGGGAGAGAATGAGAATTGTAAAGAGAATCTCTACTGCTTCAGCATTACTGTAGAGCATGGCGCTTGCAACACCAAGGTCATGGGTTTGATTCTCAGGGAATGCTTGAAATGAAAAGATGTACAGTACAGATGCAATATAAGTGGCTTTGGATAAAAGCCTCTTCCAATGCATAAAATGTACCGTAATGTAACGTAATTTACTGTTTTAGCATTCCTGTAGAGCAAAGTCATGGGTTCGATTTCAAGGGAATGCATGACGTGAAAAGATGTTCAGCTCAGATGCAATGCAATGTAACAAATAAAAGCCTCTTCCAAATGGATAAATGTTGTATTGAACAAATGTAACAATTTACCGTTTTAGCATTCCTGTTGAGCAAATTCATGAAGGTTCATGAATGTTCATTGCATTATCCAAAAAGATAATCTCTCTTTCTAATAACTGCTTTAGGCTGCATTAATAATTGCATTATCAACGGCTCAAGCCTCCATTACTGGTTATAAAATGACATTTTGGAATTAGCAACAGAGGCTTGAGATGAGATACGTAAAATATTAGTCCTACACGCAAGAGCATTTTACGCACAAAACCCTGACAAATGTCTTGAAATACATCATCTTAGGGCTGCACGATTAATCGAAATTAAATCGCAAAGGCGATAAATCACAATTAGGCAGAAGCTGCGATTGTCATGCATATCTTTCAGTGAAGCATGATTCTGTGCGTTTTGAATATGGATATTTTTCTTACAAAAACGCATCGATTCGCTACAGAAGGCCTTTGTTCACCCCCCGGAGCCGTGTGAGACACTTTTTTTATGGATGGGCGCTTTTTATTTAACTTCTTTTGGACTGAAGCAATGTAACACCCTGCTGACTGCAATGATAGAGCTTGAAAGATCAAAGACAATTTTTTATATAACTCCGACTGGATTCATCTGAAAGAAGAAAGTCATATACACCTAGGAGGCCTCGGGGATGAGTAAAACGCAGCCTAATTTTCATTTTTGGGTGAACTAACCCTTTAAATGTGGTATTTTCACCTGCTTTCAGATGGAGGAGCATTTACTACACAGAGCCGTAGTTCAGTGACAAGCTACGCAAACAGCTTTCATAATCGCAGAACGATTTCTTCGATTTCATAATCGAGCGATTAAATCGTGTGCGATTATGAACGCGACTTTGCGTAGCTTGTCGGTGAACTACGGCTCTGTGTAGTAAATGCTGCTCCATCTGAAAGCAGGTGATGGAGATTTACTTCTAATCACAGAAACGTGCAGCCCTACATCATCTGAAAAATGTCTTGAGGTGTGGTAACTGTAGCATAATCGGAATAACTGACTCTGGTCTGTTGAATTATTAGACAATAAAGTACACCTGTGTGTGCATTACTAGCAAAAAAACTACATATTAATATATACTGTGGGATATAGTGGGCTAAATTACTTATAAAGATTGTGGGTAAAATTTTGATCATATCGCCCACCACAAGGAATGCTTACAGTAAAAAGAAAAGAAATTAGGCGCTGGACAAAAAGAGAGCAGGAGAGAGAGAGATTAAAAGTTGTGGAGGTGTGTCGTGGGCCTCAGAGGACTGCTGAGGTGGGCTGTACGGACACAGAGCTGTCCACTGCAATCATTTAGACTGCAACAAAAGGAGATAACAGACCCCATTAAAAAGGACGTTACAGCCAGTTCTACTGCTTCCAAGTGAACAGTGAATACTTTCATTTAGTGATTGCAGTAAAATTTATCCTTAAAGTGTAAAATTAAGTGGGTATTTTTTAACATTCACTTTGCTTTAATAGTGGCCATTTTTCTTTGCATGGTCTTACTGACAGCCCTGTTATTAAAGCGCATCTGAATATACTGTACTGCAGAAGAGCACAAGCTGTATATGTTGATAACAAATATGTGTCAAATATATGGAATGGAGAATAAGATTTGAGAGCTGCAGAGATGATAATTTTCTGTGAGTGACAAGTAAAGTCGACTGCATTAATATATAGCGCTTCATATAATATTGATTGTTTCAAAGCAGCTTCAAAGTAATAAACAAAAATAATTCAAATAGGAGATAAATGAGGTGTAACCAATTTAAAAAATATTTTAAATTTTATTAAAAAAAAATTTTTTTTAAAGGTTAGTCACACTTTAGTTTGGGGACCAATTCTCAGTTAACTAACTACTAACTATGACTATGGGAGGGATTAAGGGTTCGAGAATATGGTCATGCAGAATAAGGCATTAATATGAGCTTTATAATACTAATAAACAGCCAATATGCGTGCTAATAAGCAGCTAGTTAATAAAGAGAATTGGTCTCTAAACTTGTTACCAAAAGTTTTTTTTTTCATTATATTTTAACAAAAGTATGTTTGTATACCATGAATAATAAATCAATAAATATAATAGAATTTTTATGTATTTATTGCTAAGATTTTTTTTTCTAGAAATGTAAAAAAAATTAAATATTTTTAAGAAATTATAATAATTGATTATGCCGACTTTACTCAACTTAGTTTTCTTTTCAAAAATTGCACTGGCTTTTTTCATCATGATATCAAGATTTCACCACCCTGTAATTCCACAAATATTGAACTTGCCTCCCAAAAAAAAACATCAATATTAAAACTTTTAATTCAGAAATTAAAAAACATGTTCATACTGTGAATACTGTGTATTCAAGCCAGTATGAATCATATTTAGCTAATAAATTCAGACAAAATGAACAAGTCATTGACCTGAGTAATGGCCATCATTCTGTGCTGTTCCTCATAAACTATAAGACAGCAGATCACTATGAATATACAGTAGTACATGAGTAATTACATGACGTTTGTTTTTTTTTTCGATACCGGTGCCAAATCAATACTTTTAAAATGCCTAAACGGTGCCTGAACCGATACTTATTAAAAAATAAATAAATAAAAATTCCCCCCAAAAATGATGGATTGGTGGGGTTCGTGGGCGGGGCTTCACCTAACAGTATACATGACAACGTTTTTTTGTTTGTTTGTTTGCTTATTTTGTTTTTATAGTAAATAAAAAGAAAACAATTAGAAAGAATAGAAAAAGAATAGGGAATGCTAATGTTAGAGGGTCATTTTTAAATAAAAATAAAAATTCAATAGAACAGAAAAAGAACAGATAATGCTAGTGTTAGAAGGTCATTATTTATAATAAATAAAATTAAAATAAGTGGAAAGAATAGAGAAAGCTAGTGTTAGAGGCTCTTTTTCTTTATAAATAAAACAAGTAGTTAGAATAGAAATAGAATAGAGAGTGCAAATGTTAGAGGGTTAAGTTTTTTAATAAAAAAAAACAAGCAGATAAAATTAGAAGTAGCATTAGAATAGAGAGTGCTAGAGTTAGAGGGTCAAATGAAGATGAAAAGAGATGTGTTTTCAGCCGTTTCTTGAAATTATTAAGGACTCGGCTGCTTGGATTGAGCTGGGCAGGTCATTCCACCAGGAGGGAACAGTTAATGTAGAAGTCCATGAAAGTTTGATCATAGGTAGAATGCAAAATGTTTCAAAATAAAGTTGAAAAAGTGAAAAAGCATAATGGGACCCCTTTAAAGTTTCAGCTGCTTGGATTGAGCTGGGCAGGTCATTCCACCAGGAGGGAACAGTTAATGTAGAAGTCCATGAAAGTTTTATCATAGGTAGAATGCTAAATGTTTCAATACAAGCATTTCAGTCAAATGTAATTCATGCAATATTTCAAACCTTTAACCCACTTGGGAAAAACAACCCATGGCAACAGTTTAAAAGTAGTCCAATTCTGTGGACTTGGCAACCCTGCATCCAACAAGAGCTGCAGCTTTGAGTGATCACAGGTCGAGAATAAGGAGAGATGACTGACAAGACCATGCTGGAGTATTTGCTGCTCAACAGATCCTGAGCTCATTGACAAATATCTGATCTTGTAAAATGTGCTTGCTCCCTATACACAGAGTGTGTGTGATCGTGAAAGTGAAAGTAAACAGCGCAAACGCTCATTCAAAAATATTTAAATGCACCGCATCCTGAGTGAGGGTCCCTGATGCGGCAAAATTATATACAATATTAGAATGTTTAAAGAAGTGGACGCGAAAATCGCGGGAGCGAAACACATGTTGCGGGAGCAGTCAGCAGTCAATGGTCAGAGATTCAGCGGGAGTGGGATTAAGAAAATAGCCGAATAAAAGAGGACGTATGATCACCCTAATTTATAATCTATTGCTAATCAATGTATTATTTTTAAAGTAGCATATGGAACATATTTTTTGCCTCATTCTGTGACAAGAAGCCTCATCAGATCACAAAAGAAAGCATTTGACTGGTGTTGTGGAGTAAAAAGGTTATAATGTTCTCTTTTGTTGGACAACCGGATTAGAAATGTGAATACAAGGGAGGTTTAGCTTTAGGCATTTTAATTTAAGCATGTTTAGCTGAGTTAACGGAAGGCTACCTGCTGCCATCAGAGCAAGTGTAATTACTGCATTCACGTGCTCCTCTGATGCTCTCATTTCCCGAGTTGTGCTTTTAAGTCGGAATGTGAAAACAACATGGACACTCTCGTTACTACAAAGATGTGTTGGATTTGTATTATTTGAGTTTTCCAACTTGAGTTCACGTGCATTTTCTCAGTCAGGAAATTATTTTTCAGGTGCGGTGCCGGTGATGATGCTTCTTACGTCTGTTTCGGAGAAACTGAAGACAAATATTTCAATCGATCGCTCAGGCATGGCACCGAAATCTGCGTTCGGATTCGGTTCTAGTACATACCTGCCATGTTACATAGGTACCGGTGCCATATTGGTACCGGGTTTCGGTACCCAACCCTAATGAAGACTGGTCTGAAAATGCTGAACTGAAAGTGTAGATGCACTCACACATGCAAACACACACATTTGCAGTCATCAGCACTTCTATCAGTTATGCATGGCCAGTGATCAAATCTCTTGCATCAGCTCTGCCTCTGGGTGAGAGTGACGGAGTCTTTCATTCTACCGTGCTAATTATTTTACCAAACAATGTCGCCCTCTCTCTCTCTCACACACACACTTCACTGTGGCATCCCCTCCTTTAAAAGCCTCAGGTATAGACTATAATTGAAAACGTATGTAATGTCCTTATGTTGATTCATGGGCTGTTACAGTGTGAACAGCCCTTCTGTTGACTGCTAAATTTCTTTTCATTTCTGTAAATTCCTCTTCCTTGTGATTCCAATTCAACATTCTGTCTTTTTTTAAAAGATTTATTTTTTTCCGTTTTTTCCCCCCCGTTTATTCTGAATGTGGAGTTAAGACAGGAAGTGAAGTGGGAGAGAGAGAGGGGCAGGATCGGGAAAAGTCTGCGAGCTGGGACTCAAACTCGGGACGCCCGTAGCGCAGCTGCGTTATATGTCGGCGCACTGCACACAAGGCTATTGGCGACGTCATCGACCACATTTTTAATGTTTTATATGGTTATGGCACAGAATACATCATAATACAACAGAATACGTCAAAAAAAAGGCAATGCCGTTGTTTCGGACTTTAAGTTGTGGTCTGTATTCCACTTCACTTTAAACATACACCCATATTTCCCTAGGCTCTTCCTCTCAGGGGAATCCCTGTGTGAGAGAAAGAAGTTTCTGCTGAAAGACCCTGAAACGGTCAAATTTGAGCCAGCTCATAAGTACACTTCAGGCAGCTCCGTCTCCCAAAATGCAACTCTGAATGTGACCTCACAGAGGATCTGTGCTGAACCTGCCCCCACTGGTTGTAAATAATAAATCAGATTCATAGTGGGTTCCTAGTGTTCAAGGGCTTAAGCAGTTCTGTTTCGGCAGTAGTGGCCACTAGAGCATGCTCATGAGACAAATGCAAGTCAGCGAAGTGAAGGGCAAAACAACTGTGGAATATAGCCCTGTTTTGGCTGATGAGCATGACCACGTCAGCTGGTAGATGAGGGTCAAAACTGTGACAATGGTTTAAATTTTGCACTACAACGCCACCTGTCTGCGGGGTAGTTTTCAATTTTCTTCACTGCTGCGTTAGGAACATGGCAGGACAAAAACCTCATGATGTAAAGTAATCCTATATCACAGCTTCAGCCCTAAGATGAATGTTACAGACTTGGATTAGAGCACAGTAAATGATTGAGGAAGTCAGGCTGTGCCACAAGCCAGTGGATATCACTGTATTTATGAGTGTGTCAAGCCTAATGCTATTTACAGATACAGAAGGAAGCTCGGCACGAAGAGACATGACTGATGTGTGATGTTTACATATATGAGCAAGATTCGGAATTCAATTCAACGCCTTTCAAACTCCAGAATTTGAATTTGAAATAATACAGCAAGCAGTTTGTCGAATTTGAATTAAATGAAGTAGAATTAAAACAAAATTTAATTTTTTTACTGCTGTAAAATAACTTCTCTTTCTTCACAAATTTTCAATTTTTTTTTTTACTAATTTGTCACCCATGAACTCATCTTTTGATGCCCGTCTTATTTTTTAACAGTACTGAACCTGAGAAAAAAAAATCTACATATTAGAGAGTAAATAGTCAAATAAATAATTAAAAATAATAAAATGACATAAAAAATTACTTATGTTTTATCGCAACACTTTTGATTCTCTATGGCTTTTCACACGCCATTCTAAACCCAGCGTAAATGGAATCCTGGGTTATCTTGCTTCACGTTTCACATTGCTTATTCTTAAACTGACGTTACACAGTACACTGCTAAACCCCAGTTTAACATTCTTATTTGCATATTTGCAGTGTCAGTGTCACTGACTGGACGAATGCAGCATGAGACGTGCTTACATAATGGCACTAGTATTGTGCATACACATTATATACTGCTGACTGTAAAATCAAGTTCTCCAGAATGGATGTTTCACACTATAAAGGCAAGAATGAAATGGTCTCCAGAGCAGGGTTTCATAACCCCGGGTAAAAAGCGGTGCTAACCCCACTTCTAAATTACATGATTGAAACGTTCCTTGACCCGGGGTTAAAAGCCGTGTTTAGAACGACGATAACCCGGGGTTAAGTGCAGTGTGAAAAGCCCTTCTGTTGACTGCTAAATTTCTTTTAAATTCTGTAAATTCCTCTTCCCGTGATTCCAATTCAACATCCTGTTAGATGTGGCCAATTAGAATATTGAATTCTGAATTTTGGCCAACCCTGGCCAAGAAAGACTGAAACTCACTCTCTGGCTGTTTCTCATTGGGCGTGATGGAGCGCACAAAGTCCTGTGGTGTCATGTACACCTCCGGGTCTCCGTGCTCACTGATGATCTTCAGGGTGGCAAAGTACCGAAATATCTTGTCTGGGGTGGAGTAAGCTCTGATCCGGTTCTCATACTCCATCACCTGTATCACACACACAGAAAAACACACTTACAGTCAATATCAATGCTGGGAAGTAACTACTTTTGTCTTTATACTAAATAAACCGTGGAGTATTTACAGTAACACGCTACTTTATCCAAGTAGCGTTGTAGTGTAAACAAACGCTATTGCCATTTTTGCATTGGTGCGCTGTGTTTACCCTTGTATAGGGTCCATATTAATGAATCATGATAGATATAACCTGCCAAGGCTGGTCATTTACATAACTAAATCTAACCATCTGATCATTAGAATAACCTGTCATTATGGCTGTCATAACAGCAACTATGGCAAAACAGCAGACAGTTTTGTTTTGAGTTATGAATCAAGAGCAGCCTAAAAGTTATTAATAGCCTGAGGCGACATGGCATGTATTAACTAAAAAAAAAATCATCCATTGCAGGTGGCTATGAAACAAATGAAAACTCCTGTGCATGAAAATGTCTAGTTTGTATCGGAAATATTTAGACAATAACTGTCAGTTACATCATGTGATCATGTGAGCCTGACAAACTTGATTGAATGGATTGCAAAGAACGGAGGACTTGCTCCATGTTCAATCATATGAGACAAACAGTATAGTCCATTTCTAAAGCCACTTTTTTTTGTAATGTCTACTAAATGATTTTTTGCCTTAATAATGTAATATTTAAAATGTTCTTCATCCAGGGGCATTTATTCAGCATATCGTGCCATGAAATTATCTAATTGATTGACAGCTATTAATTGAGACAATTTCATTTTTAAATTATAGCCATTACTGCAGTCGGTGTCTCTTATTGTGATGGATGTGTCTGTATTTTTTGGTCAAAGAACATCAAAATAAGCAGTAATAGAGGTCAGTTTCATCATTCTCATCCAGCCTTTGATGATGCTTCCTTTTCCACTATCTGGCTGTCTTTAGCAAATGCCCATTTTGCAAGTGACTCATTATGCAAGCTACTGTAGGCTAATTTTCTGAGCTAATTGAGTGTCAGTTTGCATGCAGCTATTAGACAACAGAAGTGATTGTAGTTACAAGATGAGGTGCTGATAATTTGGAGTTTAGGATATTGCCTGAATGCCTGCAGTAAGTGAGGCTTGTAATGTAAAACTGTACTTGTCAATCAAACCCTGCAATTCCGGAGGTCACTGCGCACCACTGTTCATTTGTTTTTATTTATACTTGTGTCAGATGAACATACTTGGTCACTGCATTGGGCCTCACCACTATTTTAGGATTTTGCACCATAAGTGTTGTGTTTTTAAGATGCTGTCAAGTTAAAAATGGTTCAAGTGCTAAAAAAAACATGTGTAGAGACCTTTGCCTTCTGTTTTATTCAGTTGCTCTCTATTTTGCTCTGAAAACGTTCCAATACTAAAGGTTGAGAGATGTTGATGGATACTTCTGTGTAACAAAAAAGACATTACGAAAAATGTCTCCGTGGGGTATTTTGTCCATATAATAGAAGTCAAAGGGGTTCAATGATGTATTGGGAGTCCATTGACTTTCAATGCATAAACAAAAATAGTCAAAACATTCCTCAAAATATCATCTTTTGTGTTCCACATAAGAAAGAAAGTAAAACAGATGCCCGAGTCTGCCTTTTCGGACATTTTTTCCCCAAATTCTTAATCTGACTGTGTATTTGAAGACCCTACTCATTTGATTTACATATTTTGCATACTATATAGTAGGGAAGTACACACATTCAGATGTGGAGAGTGTTTTATTGAGTTCATTGCTCACATAAACCTGACAGAAAACAAGACACGCACTGATTGTCATGACAACTGGACAGCGATTTCATATACACAGAACCAAAACCTAAAATCTAAACTGTACTTTCTTGTTGCTGCCTTGCAAGTACTGATACTTCCTTCAGGAAATGCAAATGTTGTTTTTCTTTTAAAGTGATAAAGTTCGATGTCAGACACTGTAATATGCTCTGGTCCCCTCCCTGCTTACTGTGGTGACGAGATATATAGCAGACTGTCATCACTCTTTTCCACTGCATGGTACGCCACTGTATGGCTCGGTACGGTTCACTTTTGGGGGATTTTCCACTGGGTACAGTACCTGGTACTTTTTTTAGTACCACCTCGGTTGAGGTTCCAAGTGAACCGTACTGTTACCAAAACGTGACGTGTAAACTCTGCTGATCATGGATTGGCCGGAGATAATCGTCACTACCTGCGTCACTGAACTTACGACACAAACACAACAGAACCTCTAGATTTAAATCAGCACAGCCAGCGAAGGATCAAACGCAACTGTTTTGAACAAGCGCACCTTTTTTTAACAACCAAAAAGTGGCTGTTTCGTTGTCTGTTGAGGAAGTACAGACGTTCCTCTCGTTGATAGCAGAGGAGCGGATCCAGCGAGAGCTTGATGTGGTGACACGGAATGAAATTTTTTTTCAGGAGTCGCAGCAGTAGAGGCGGCACAACTATAACGACTTGTGAATAATCCCGCCCACTCTAAAGCTACACTAAATTGCAGTGGGTACAATACAGTAGGTTTCATAGACTGTTGGGCAAGTTTTTGGGGCAGACCTGACCTGTTGAAAAGAGATGGTCTTCATCCCTCCTGGGGTGGTGCCGCTCTTCTCTCTAGAAATATGGCACATAGTCTTAGAGTTTGTACTTGACTAACTGGGGCCCAGGTCAGGAAGCAGACAGACTGGCTAAACCGACCATCTGCTAGCCGCCTCACGTCACAGAAGTCAGTTAATTCTCAGCACAGAGATTCTTTCACATAGATATCATACTACACAGACTGTGTCTGTTCCCCGAACCAGCAAATACAAAAAAGGTCCAAAACAATGTAAGGGTAGCAATTGAATTGATGTTCAACAAATAAAAAACAGATATAATACAGATGAACAAATGATAAAGCTTGGCTTAATGAATATTAGATCCCTTTCTACAAAAGCACTTTTTATAAATTAAATGATCACAGCTCATAACTTAGATGTGCTCTATTTGACAGAAACCTGGCTAAAATCAGATGATTACATTATTTTAAATGAGCCTTTCTCAGTATTTCTCAGAGCTCTGGTTTCAAGTATAATTCATTTGAAGTAATGGTGATTCAAATAAAATTACCCAGAAAAACAAGTGTTAATGATAAATCCCCTGTGACATTTGTACTGGCTACTGTATACAGGCCACCAGAGCACCATACAGACTTTATCAAAAAAATTGCTGATTTTCTATCTGAGTTAGTGCTGACTGCAGATAAAGTCTTAATTGTTGGCGATTTTAATATCCATGTTGATAATGAAAAATATGCATTGGGATCAGCATTTAGACATTCTGAACTCCATTGGGGTTAGACAACACCTGTCAGGACCTACTCATTGTCGTAATCATACTCTAGAACTAATACTGTCACAAGGAATTGATGTTAATGGCGTTGATATTCTACAGCAGAGTGATGATATCTCAGATCATTATCTAGTCTCATGTATACTCCATATAGCTAAAGCTGCAAATTCAACTCCTTATTACAAATATGGCAGAACCATCACTTCTACCACAAAAGACTGCTTTGTAAATAGGCTAATCTTCCTGACTTGTCTCAATATCTCAGCATATCCAGTAGCTCAGAAAAACTTGATGGTGTAACCGAAACTATTGACTATCTCTTTTCTAGCACTTTAGATACAGTTGCTCCTTTACACTTAAAGAAGATTAAGGAAAATAGTCCCACACCATGGTATAACGAGCACACTCATGCCTTAAAGAGAGCAGCCCGGAAAATGGAGCACAGCTGGAAGAAAACAAAAGTAGAGGTATTTTGTATTGCATGGCGGGAAAGTACTTCTACTTATAGAAAAGCTCTAAAAACAGCTAGATCTACTTACTTTTCGTCTCTTAGAAGAGAACAAACAGAACCCCAGGCATTTATTCAATAAAGTGGCTAAATTAAAGAAAAATAAAGCATCAACAAATGCAGACCTTTCCCAACAGCACAGCAGTAATGACTTTATGAACTTCTTTACTTCCAAGATCGATACTATTAGAGATAAAATTATGCAGCCATCAGCCACAGTATCACATCAGATTCCACAACAATTCCACTCGTTCTCTGCTATAGGACAGGAAGAATTCTATAAACTTGTCAAATCATCAAAACCTACAACATGTATGTTAGACCCTATTCCATCTAAGCTACTAAAAGAGGTGCTTCCAGAAGTCATAGATCCTCTTCTGAATATTAATTCATCAATGTCTTTAGGATATGTCCCTAAAACCTTCAAATTGGCTGTTATTAAGCCTCTCATTAAAAAAAACACAACTTGATCCTAGAAAATTAATTAATTACGGATCAATCTCAAATCTTTTTTTTTTAGATTTAAAGATTTTATTTTCGGTCAAAAATAGTAGAAAAAGCAGTATCCTCTCAGCTATGTTCCTTCTTCGAGAGAAATGGTATCTCTGAAGATTTCCGGTCAGGATTTAGACTGTATCATAGTACCGAGACTGCTCTCATCAGAGTTACAAATGACCTGCTCTTATCATCCGATCTTGGTTGTATTTCTCTATTAGTACTACTGGATCTTAGTGCTGCGTTTGACACCATCAACCACAACATTCTTTTGAGTAGACTACAAAATTATCAAGACTACACTAACATTAGTGTAATTGCATTGTCATGGTTTAAATCTGACTTATCTGACCGTCATCAATTCCTAGCAGTAAAATACAAGATATCATATCGATCACAAGTACAGTATGGAGTGCCACAAGACTCAGTACTAGGACCGTTGCTTTTCACACTTTACATGTTACCCTTGAGAGATATTATCAAGAAACATGGTGTTAGTTTTCACTGTTATGCTGATGATACTCAGCTCTATATTTCTTCGCGGCCCAATGAAACCTACAAATTTACAAAACTAATGGAATGCATAGTTGATATAAAAAAAAAACTGGATGACTAGAAATTTCCTACTGCTAAATTCTGAAAAACAGAGGTTTTAATTACTGGACCAAAA